AAAAACATATCCAGCTAAGCTTGTGCCGGAGATCCCGAGAGGACAGGTGTCTATTACGTCTCCTGGCCAAACCCCATTTGGCAGAGCCAGGAGAATAATTCCTTATCCTCGGGATTCCTCCATGAACAGCAAAAAGACACTGCGGTAAACCACGTGGAATGTTTGAACGCTCACTGCGGAGGAGAGGCTGCCACTCCTCTGTCGGGTGCTGGACCGGTACCGCCTGGATCTATGCGGCATTCAGGAGGTCCGGTGGACCGGCTCTGGCTCCTGCCACCATGAGGGGTGGACAGTCCTCTACTCGGGGCAGGAGACTGCCAAACAACAGGGAGTGACTCTACTTTTGAACAAAAGAATGAAGAGGGCGTGGGAGCGTGGCGGTGAGGTGTGGGAAGCTGTAAGCCCCAGGCTACTTTGGGCTCGCCTTCCCATCAGCCGGAGGCGAGGTGTGGTGGTCGTGGTTACTTATGCCCACACCGAAGATGAACATCACTGGAGGGATGCAGGCAAGGCCGATGAGACAGATGCATTCTATGACCTCCTGTCACCGGTGCTGGCTAAAGTGGCCCCTCGGGATAGAGTCATCATGTTGGGTAACTTTAATGCCCGAGTTGGTCATGATACTGGCACCTGGTCTGGAGTGCTTGAAAGGCATGGGCCAGATCAGCTCAATAACAACGGTAGGAGGCTGCTAGACTTTTGTGCAGCCCATGGGCTTGTAATTACCAACACTCTGTTCTGGCATCGGCGCATTGACTGAACATCATGGATGCATGCCGGGTCCAAGCAGGAACATCTGCTGGACTACGTATTGGTGGAACAGTGGATGCGGGCCTATGTCCTTGACACCAGGACCTACCGTGGAGCTGATCTGCCCTCTGACCATCGGCTTGCATCTGAGAGATGTGCCTGCCATTTTTCCACTCCAGTGGTGGGTGTACACCCAGGACTCCATTCAAACCCACAGTGGCCTGGTCTCAGCTAGCTGATGAAAGTTGCCAGCGAGAATTTCATCATCGCTTGCAGCTTGGGCTGGCATCGTTACCCACTCCTCCTAATGCCGAGGGGAAATGGGCGAGGTTCAGGACCGAGTCTAATGCAGCCGCAATGACTGGTTTGGGTGCACAGTCCAAACCTCCCCAGAGACCCTGGCTGGCAGAGGTGTTCAGGCTGGGTGAGAAAAAAGCGACAGGCCCACTCTCACCGTCTACAGCATCCCACGTCAGAGAATGAGGAGGCTTACCGCAAATTTGCTCGGATGTTCGGAGAGCCATGAGGCACTGCGAGGTTGGGTGGTGGTCGCGGGTTGCTGAGAAGGTGGAATCTGCCACATTGGCCCGCAATCACAATCATCCATCCTGGGTTTAACCAGGCTGAATTGTGCGAGGAGCTCACAAATCCTTGAAAGATCCAGACAAAGCCCCATCGGTGAGCTCTTTCAGCAGGCAAGGTGGCGTTGGCTGGGTCATATAGCCCGCATGCCCAGTCACTGCATGCCTCAACAGCTTTTGTTCGGCCAGATAGAGGGTGGTAAACAGGCATGGCACGGGCTGGAGAAGAGATGGAGTGATGTAGTATGAGAATATGTGGAACGGAGTGGACTTGCCGATGACTGGTACCAGTGGTGTAAAGGTCGGCCTCTGTGGTGGAGGCTCGTGAAGGACGCTGCTACTGGACAGTTGGAGGCAGTCGCCCTCCAGCAACTACGGAGGCCGGAAGAGCGACGCTCACAACAATGAGCGGAGCGCCAGGTGGCTAAAGCACAGCAGGTTGGCACAGTAGGGGCACAGGTGGTGCATCGGTCAGTCATCTCAGTCAGTCGACCCATGGCACCTGGGTCTGCCCGGTGACCTCCTGCCAGTGGGCATTCGACACTTCACGTGGCCTCAAGGTGCACATAGCCTGTTACAAGCGCCGTGGTGACGTAACCACCACTTAGTGGCGAATGGCGGTTGTTGTTGTGCGTACACGTGTGTACACGTACGTGTGCACACGTGTGTGTGTGTGAAAATGTGTCTGGCGATCTTTATTATACACCGCACCAGGTACTTAATTGAGGCTGAGTCGAACTAGGGAAGGCCCAGGACCTGTACAGATTAATCATCACACTGGTGTTAGCCGTGAGCGGGAATCGAACTCGGATCTCTGCCGGGTTCGTGGTGAAGAGCATTAACCAGTGCACCACCGCTCCATCCACCCCCTTATTGCCTGACGTCAATCCACACCCCCCTACTCCTCCTCCTCCTCAGTCCGCCCTTCGAGTGAGAGAGAGTTCAGCATGAGGTGAGTGGCCCAGGTGAGAATTGGAGGGAGAGTTCAGGATGAGGTGAGTGGCCCAGGTGAGAATTGGAGAGAGGGTTCAGGATGAGGTGGGTGGCCCAGGTGAGAATTGGAGAGATAGTTCAGGATGAGGTGAGTGTCCCAGGTGATAATTCGAGAGAGAGTTCAGCATGAGGTGGGTGGCCCAGGTGAGAATTGGAGAGAGAGTTCAGCATGAGGTGAGTGTCCCAGGTGAGAATTGGAGAGAGGGTTCAGCATGAGGTGAGTGTCCCAGGTGAGAATTGGAGAGTTCAGGATGAGGTGAGTGGCCCAGGTGAGAATTGGAGAGTTCAGGATGAGGTGAGTGGCCCAGGTGAGAATTGGAGAGAGAGTTCAGCATGAGGTGAGTGGCCCAGGTGAGAATTGGAGAGAGGGTTTAGCATGAGGCGAGTGTCCCAGGTGATAATTGGAGAGAGAGTTCAGGATGAGGTGAGCGTCCCAGGTGAGAATTGGAGAGAGGGTTCAGCATGAGGTGAGTGGCCCAGGTGAGAATTGGAGAGAGCGTTCAGGATAAGGTGAGTGGCCCAGGTGAGAATTGGAGAGAGGGTTCAGGATGAGGTGAGTGGCCCAGGTGATAATTGGAGAGAGAGTTCAGCATGAGGTGAGTGTCCCAGGTGAGAATTGGAGAGAGGGTTCAGCATGAGGTGAGTGGCCCAGGTGATAATTGGAGAGAGGGTCAGCATGAAGTGAGTGGCCCAGGTGAGAACTGGAGAGAGAGTTCAGCATGAGGTGAGTGTCCCAGGTGAGAATTGGAGAGAGGGTTCAGCATGAGGTGAGAGAAACCCAGAGACCCATCGACTCACAGATACCCACAGAGACCCATAGACTCACAAAAACCCATAGAATCAGAGACCCATAGACTCACCAGAGACCCATAGACTCACCAGAGACTCATAGACTCACCAGTGACCCATAGACTCACCAGAGACACATAGACTCGCCAGAAGTACCCAGAGACACTCACAGAGACCCATTGAGATCAATAGATTCAGAGATCTATAGAGACACGTAGATAAACATAAAGACACATAGAGATCCATAGAGACCCAGAGAGACCCATACCCATAGACCCATAGACTAACAGATACCCATAGAGACCCATAGACTAACAGATACCCACAGAGACCCATAGACTCACATAGACCCATAGAGACCCATAGACTCACAGATACCCATAGAGACCCACAGAGACTCCAGAGGCCAGGTCGCGAGATTTGCGAGTGCCCTGGGCTCACGGATCTGACAAAAGAGAAACAACTGGAATAGCAAACAGCACAAAAACAAGAGCAGCGATCAGCTGAGGTAGACGGGAGAGAGAAAGAGGTGATCGCTAGAGAGATGATATATTGACCGAAGAGAGATACACGAGATGTATGGAGATCTGGCGGTAGAGATGGTGGTGCTGGTGGTGGTGGTAGAGGCTGTGGTGGAGGTGGTGCTGAATGAGGTGAAGGTGGTGGTGTTGTAGGTTGTGGAGGTGGTGGTAGTTGGTGGAGGTGGTTGTGGTGGTGGAGGTGGTCGTGGTGGAGGTTGTGGTGGTGGAGGTGGACGAGGAGCAGGTGTAGGCGGTGTAGGGCAGGGTGGAGGTGGTGGTGGAGGTGGTGCAGGTGTAGGAGGTGGACACGGTGGAGGAGGTGGGTGTAGGTGGTGTAGATGATGGTGTAGGTGGTGTAGGTGATGGTGTAGGTGGTGTAGGTGTAGGCGGTGTAGGTGATGGTGTAGGTGATGGTGTAGGTGGTGTAGGTGATGGTGTAGGTGGTGTAGGTGATGGTGCAGGTGGAGGTGATGTAGGTGATGTAAGTGGTGTAGGTGGTGTAAGTGGTGGTGTAGGTGATGGTGTAGGTGTAAGAAATGGTGCAGGTGATGGTGCAGGTGACGTAGGTGGTGTAGGTGATGGTGTAGGTTCATAGTTCATAGTTCCATTTATTTGGTAGAGCCGTGAGCCATTCGGCTCTTGAATCGTGTGCAACCGTAACAAAACAAACATACGAACAAGAAAACATCTTCAAGTGACTATGTGACTGTGCAAACAGAAAATCCAGGAAAAAAACATTGGTGTACGGTGGTACACCAACGCTGTGTGCAAAAATCCCAGTGGGATGCAAGTCAAATAACAACAACAACAACCACGAGACAAACTGGTGTGTAGGAGGAGGTGGTGCAGGTGATGGTGCAGGAGGTGGAGGTGGTGCAGGTGGTGCAGGTGATGCAGGAGGAGGCGGTGCAGGTGGTGTAGGTGCAGGTGGAGGTGGTGCAGGTGGTGTAGTTGATGGTGTAGGTGGTGCAGGTGATGGTGCAGGTGATGGTGTAGGTGGCGCAGGTGGTGCAGGTGATGGTGTAGGTGGTGCAGGTGATGGTGCAGGTGATGGTGAAGGTGATGGTGCAGGTGACGCAGGTGGTGCAGGTGATGGTGCAGGTGATGGTGTAGATGGTGCAGGTGATGGTGTAGGTGGTGCAGGTGATGGTGCAGGTGATGGTGCAGGTGATGGTGCAGGTGATGGTGTAGGTGATGATGCAGGTGATGATGCAGGTGATGGTGGTGCAGGTGATGGTGCAGGTGCAGGTGCTGGTGTATGTGATGGTGCAGGTGATGGTGCAGGTGATGGTGCAAGTGGTGCAGGTGATGCAGGTGATGATGCAGGTGATGATGCAGGTGCTGGAGTCGTCGTCGTCGTCGTTACCGTGGCGTCCTCCCCGGCGTAGTGCGCCAGGACTCGCGGCCCCCCCGGGTGCCGGGCCCCCCACGCGGTGACGTCATAGACGCGCCTCTCCACCACGAGCCAGCGAGGCTCGCCGTGGCGACCTCCGCTCCTCTGCGCCACCTCGTCCCAGGTCCACAGCCGGGGAGACGCCGACGACGACGATGATGACGGTGACGATGCTGACGACGGTGGTGGTGACGATGGTGGTGGTGGAGGCGGAGATCGAGAAGGCGCCATCACCGATGCGGTGCAGGGGGTGGCCCCCGACGCTCCCTCCTCACCGCGTCCCATGGTGCTGGTGGTGGTGGTGCTGGTGTGAGGGGTGGGGGTGGTGGTGCTGGTGTTGGTGAGGAGCTCTGCTCCTCGAGACGCCGAGCAGCGTGTGGCAGCCGCCGTGTGACTGCAGCCGCTTATATAGCGTGACGTCACCCCACCCGGAGGAGGTGGGGGGGGTAACCACGCAACACCCCCCCCCCCTCCGCCACACTACCCCAGCCCGACACCGTCAATTGGCTGAGACGCTGCCCCCCCCCGCCCTACTACCCCACCCCGACACCGTCCATTGGCCGAGACGCCGCCCACCCGCCCCCCGGCCCTACTACCCCACCCCGACACCGTCCATTGGCTGAAACACCGCCCCCCCCGCCCCTACTACCCCACCCCGACACCGTCCATTGGCTGAGACGCCGCCCCCCCCCCGCCCTACTACCCCACCCCGACACCGTCCATTGGCTGAGACGCCCCCCCACCCCCGCCCTACTACCCCACCCCGACACCGTCCATTGGCTGAGACGCCGCCCCCCCCCCCCCCCGCGCCCCACCATCGCCATCAATTGGCTGAGCCCTCTCCCTGCCGCCCCCCTCATATCTGAGTTGAAGTTCAGCCACTGAGGTCACCGACCCCCTCATTAATTGCTGGGCATCTGTGACAAAGAGCTTCATAGCTCTTCAGGTTCCTCCTCCTGCAGTCTGAATGCAGATTTTTATTATGAACTGAGGCCCCCCCCCACCCCCCTCATTAACTAAGGCCACGCCCCATTCATTAACTAAGACCACGCCCCCTAATTAACGAAGGCCACGCCTCCTTCGTTAGTCGAGACACCACCCCCCCATCATTAAATAAGACCACGCTCCCTCATTGGCTAATGCCATGCCTCCCTCGTTAGCTGAGACTCCGCCCCCTTGGTTACTAAGGCCACGCCCCCTCATTGGCTGCGACCCCGCCCCCCTCATTAACGAAAACCCCGCCCCCTTCATTCACTCAGTGGCCCCGCCCTCCCATGGGCAGAGTTGTCATTGACAGGTTGCGAGATGATTGATTGACATACACAAACACGCACAGTAAGAGACGTTTCGGGCAACGACCCTTCGTCGTAGGCAGAGAAGAAACGAGACAGACACTACTCACGAGACGATCTACCGATCTCCGCGTGAGCCTTGAGAGAGAGATATCGATTGCTGCACGGGGAACAGAGCGAGATTAGTCCACGCACATTTATGCATGGGTGATTGAGTGAGTGGGTGATTGAGTGAGTGGGTGAGAGGGTGGGTGAGTGGTTGAATGAGTGGATGAATGGGTGAGTGGGTGAGTGAGTGGGTGAGTGGGTGAGTGAGTAGGTAAGTGGGTGAGTGAGTAGGTAAGTGGGTGAGTGAGTGGGTGAGTGAGTGGGTGAGTGGCTGAATGGGTGAGTGGGTGAGTGAGTGGGTGAATGAGTACGTGAATGGGTGAGTGAGTGGGTGAGTGAGTGGGTGAGTGAGTGGGTGAGTGGGTGAGTGAGTGAGTGAGTGGATGAGTGGGTGAGTGAGTGGGTCAGTGAGTGGGTCAGTGAGTGGGTGAGTGAGGAGATGAGTGGGTGAGTGAGTGAGTGGTTGAGTGGTTGAGTGAGTGAGTGGATGAGTGAGTGGGTGAGTGGGTGAGTGGGTCAGTTAGTGGGTGAGTGGGTGAGTGTGTGAGTGGTTGAGTAAGTGAGTGAGTGAGTGGGTGAGTGAGTGGGTGAGTGAGTGAGTGAGTGGTTGAGTGAGTGGTTGAGTGGGTGAGTGAGTGGGTGAGTGAGTGAGTGGGTGAGTGGGTCAGTGAGTGGTTCAGTGAATGGGTGAGTGAGTGGGTGAGTGAGTGAGTGAGTGGGTGAGTGGGTCAGTGAGTGGTTCAGTGAGTGGGTGAGTGAGTGGGTGAGTGTGTGAGTGGTTGAGTGGGTGAGTGTGTGAGTGGTTGAGTGAGTGAGTGGGTGAGTGGTTGAGTTAGTGGGTGAGTGGGTGAGTGAGTGGGTGAGTGGGTGAGTGACTGGGTGAGTGGGTGGGTGAGTGAGTGAGTGGGTGAGTGAGTGAGTGGGTGAGTGAGTGGGTGAGTGGGTGGGTGGGTGAGTGAGGAGGTGAGTGGGTGAGTGATTGAGTAAGTAGGTGAGTGGGTGAATGAGTGGGTGAGTGATTGAGTGGGTGAGTGGGTGAGTGATTGGGTGAGTGAGTGAATGGGTGAATCAGTCGAGTGGCAATATCTTCTCATCGGTTGCGTAACGCTGTGTGGAAGCTACCTGCTCTGTCGCTCCAATTTACGCTCCAGGTCTTCTCGGCCAAGGTCAAACCCTCCCTTCTCTATGCTTGCAAAACGTGCACCCAACCGATTGGAACATCTTCGCCAGTTAGAAACATTTTGGATGGCCTGCCTATGGTCCATACTGGATGAGAAGCTCACACATCCTCGAAAGATCTGGACAAAGTCCCATTGGTGAGTCCCTCTGGCATACAAGGCTGCGTTGGCTGGGTCCAGCGACCGCATACCTAAACGGCTTTTGTTCGGCAGTATAGAGGGGGCTTAACAGGCGCGGCACGGTCTAGGGAAGAGATGGACTTGCCGATGACTGGTACCAGTGGTGTCAACATCGGCCTCTGTGCAGGAGGCTCGTGAATTACGCCGCTGCTACTGGGCAGTTGGATGCAGTGACCCTTCAGCAACAATGGAGGGCGGAGGAGCGACGCACACAACAACGAGCGGAGCGCCGGGCGGCTAAAGCACAGCAGGTTGGCGCAGTAGGGGGCACAGGTGGTGCATCGGCCAGTCATCTCAGTCAGTCGACTATTGGCACCTGGGTCTGGCCCCTTGATCTTCCAGCCGGCGGGCGTTCCACACTACACGTGGCCTTAACGTGCACATAGCCTGGCACAAGCGCAGTGGTGACGTCACCGCCACTTAGTGGCGAATGGCGGGTTGTTGTTGGGTGGCTGGATGAGTGGGTGTCTGAATGGGGTGGGTGAGTGGATGGCTGAGTGAGTTGCCGTGACTTGCAGTGTGGTGGTGGTGATGGTGGTTATCGTGGTGTCATACAGATTGAGTCCTCATCATGGGTGGATATAATGTAACACAATCTTAATATTGTAATAATGTCCCCTATCTTCCGCTCATGAACACACCACTTTGCACTATCTCTGTCATACTCACCCACCCACTCAACCACCCACTCACCCACTCACTCATCACTCACTCCACCATCCATCACCACTCACGCCACCTTCGATTATCAATCAAGCCACCTTCGATTACCAATCATGCCACCTTCCATTATCAATCACTCCACCATCCATCGCCACTCACGGCACGTTCGATTACCAATCAAGCCACCTTCGATTACCAATCAAGCCACCTTCGATTACCAATCACTCCACCTTCCATTATCAATCACTCCACCTTCGATTACCAATCGCGCCACCTTCGATTACCACTCACTCCACCATCCATCACCAATCGCGCCACCTTCGATTGCCACTCATGCCACCTTCGATGACCAATCACGCCACCTTCCATTATCAATCACTCCACCATCCATCACCACTCACGCCACCTTCGATTACCAATCACTCCACCTTCCATCACCACTCACGCCACCTTACATTATCAATCACTCCACCTTCGATTACCACTCACTCCACCATCCATCACCACTCACGCCACCTTCGATTATCAATCAAGCCACCTTCGATTACCAATCACGCCACCTTACATTATCAATCACTCCACCTTCGATTACCACTCACTCTACCATCCATCACTACTCACGCCACCTTCGATTATCAATCAAGCCACCTTCGATTACCAATCACGCCACCTTACATTATCAATCACGCCACCTTCGATGACCAATCAAGCCACCTTCGATTACCAATCACGCCACCTTACATTATCAATCACTCCACCTTCGATGACCAATCACTCCACCTTCCATCACCACTCACGCCACCTTCGATTACCAATCACTCCACCTTCCATCACCACTCACGCCACCTTACATTATCAATCACTCCACCTTCGATTACCACTCACTCCACCATCCATCACCACTCACGCCACCTTCGATTATCAATCAAGCCACCTTCGATTACCAATCACGCCACCTTACATTATCAATCACTCCACCTTCGATTACCACTCACTCTACCATCCATCACTACTCACGCCACCTTCGATTATCAATCAAGCCACCTTCGATTACCAATCACTCTACCTTCCATTATCAATCACTCCACCTTCGATTACCAATCGCGCCACCTTCGATTACCACTCACTCCACCATCCATCACCAATCGCGCCACCTTCGATTGCCACTCATGCCACCTTCGATGACCAATCACGCCACCTTCCATTATCAATCACTCCACCATCCATCACCACTCACGCCACCTTCGATTACCAATCACTCCACCTTCCATCACCACTCACGCCACCTTACATTATCAATCACTCCACCTTCGATTACCACTCACTCCACCATCCATCACCACTCACGCCACCTTCGATTATCAATCAAGCCACCTTCGATTACCAATCACGCCACCTTACATTATCAATCACTCCACCTTCGATTACCACTCACTCTACCATCCATCACTACTCACGCCACCTTCGATTATCAATCAAGCCACCTTCGATTACCAATCACGCCACCTTACATTATCAATCACGCCACCTTCGATGACCAATCAAGCCACCTTCGATTACCAATCACGCCACCTTACATTATCAATCACTCCACCTTCGATGACCAATCACTCCACCTTCCATCACCAATCACGCCACCTTCGATGACCAATCACGCCACCTTCGATGACCAATCACGCCACCTTCCATTATCAATCACGCCACCTTCCATCACCAATCACGCCACCTTCGATGACCAATCACGCCACCTTCCATTACCAATCACTCCACCTTCCATCACCAATCACGCCACCTTCGATGACCAATCACGCCACCTTCCATTACCAATCACGCCACCTTCCATCACCACTCACGCCACCTTCGATGACCAATCACGCCACCTTCGAACGCCAATCACAACCGCGTGTCAAAGCTGGGCTGGCGTTTGAGCAGCCATCATCATCACCAACACCACCACCACCACCACCTCCTCGACGGATGTGAACGGGGGTTCAAGGTCTAGCGCTGTTACTCGAGTTCAGGAGATTTT